TTTTTTTTTTTTTTTTTTTTCCTCCCCTATTTTGTTTGTAGGGGACAGTTTAAAAAAGCTGAGGAAGGATGGAGGACTGATGTTGTTCAGGAGTATTTTGCTTCCCTTTTCTACACATGCCTGTTTATTTCTGTCTCTTTTTTAAATGCCCTGTTTTCAAATCTTCTTGCACCAGTTATAGTGGGACTTAGGCAGTTTCCTCACAACCTCCCAGCTGCAGTTTTTAACACATCAGACAGCTGCAAGAGGCAACTAACAAAAATCACACCTTGTCTAAATTTTGCACCAGCTTAACCAGAGCAGCAGTGTCTCCTCATTGAAAACCTAGAGGCAATTCTACGGTGGCTTATTTCACATTACTTTAAACCTGATAAAAGATGAATATAAAGAAGTTCACCAGTTTTACTGAAGCAATATAAAGTCACACATAAAAGCTAGTCCACACACGGGCTTATCCTGATTAACATCATCTGTAGAGTAAGAATTCCTTCTTCCTGCTTAGTTTGCTGCCACAAGTTGTTTACCAGGAATGAGGCAAACTCAACTGAGAATTTAAGAAATATTTCTAGAAAGCCTCACAGCTATGGCCTTCTGAAGATCTGGATAGTAGCTCTTGATTGCCTTTTTCTTTTTCATATTAATACATATCTCCAGTGTAAATTGGCACTCTCACCTACAATCAGATTCAGTGGCTTCAAGTACATGTGATTCTAATTACTGACCCCAGGCTTTTTAGTGAGCTAAGCCATGCACTTGGTGCTCAGTTCAAAGCTCCTGGAAGTCCATGGAAAGTAAGAGCTTGTGAGAGAGAACATTATGCACAACCACATTTTTTTTCTTACATCTGTTTGCAAAAGCCTTGTAATCCTTTGTGTAGCTTTTAAAACAAACAAATTCTTTAATTAGGATTTTATTTTTACTTCAGAAGAATAAAAATCATTTGCAAGAGCTCAGATAAATGTGTAGTGACAGTGTAACAAATCATTGCATAAGTCATTTCCAAGGGTCTTGTTGCGAGTAGATACAATTGAGAAGAATGACAAAGAATTTCAATTTGCTCCAACAAATCCATTACCATCTATGGCACAGGTTCACAGTTGTCATTTTTCTACTTAGTTTCATGGGAACAGCAGTTCTTGAAGTGGCTTTAAAAAGCCTTTGTAAGGCCTGCTGAACCCATTTTCCCAGCCTTTTTGGTTTACTACAGCTCTGACATCCTGCTTTCTTTTTGCCCTCCTCTCATTTGTCCAGAAGCTGTGAGAAAATCAAAAGGAAATTTTTCTATCTTCCCTGCTGCAGGGAAGAAAATAGATGTACCTAGAAATTAAATCTATCCATTCTTAATGAAGGAAAACTTCTTGGCCCCAGTGGAAAAAAAAAGAAGCAATGTTTTCTTCTCATTAAGGAAATACACTAAACTAAAGAGGCATAAAAAGGCCTATTTTTCTTTCTTAAAAAGAATAATAGTCTACTCACTGCTTTGAATGCACAGTGATCAAGCGAAGTCCATGGAGTCTATCTCCCAGCATTAAAATAAGACCCCATACTCTATAGTAAATCAATCCATAGTTATTGGAGTACAGATGATCCATGCAAATTAGTTCCAACCATTGGTATGTGTGAAGTATAACTGGCGTTCAGTTTCTTTGCTGAAGAAAACACTACCTAAATCTTATATTAAAATATAATTGTAATAATAAAGCTTTCTTTTTGCGAAAGACATGGAAATAACTGTGTCAAATAATCATTTTAACACTGGAAATTTGGCCTATGTGTATTTTTTAGCAACTGAATACTGGAAACTGATTTTTTGAGGTTTATGGGCACCGTTCTGATTTTCTTGCCTGTCCTGGTGGGCATTAATATCTCTGATTGAAATACAACACACCTTTTCCAGAAAATCCACATCAAAATCTTCAGAAATGAATGCACAATTCTAAGTTATCTTTCAAAATTGTTAGTGTCATCACAGATGACAATTTATTTGTTATTTCGAACTATATCAATCTAGTTAAATTCTTGATAGATATCTGGGCTTGTACTCGTGGTGAAGTTACCATCACTCCATCACTATGTGTTCAATGCTTTGTGCATCCTAAGTGACCATCAAAATAACCAGATAATGCATCTTGTGGACAATTCATATCACTTGCTAGGGATTAGCTTGTAATAAATCTCCTTTTAGATAAGCCAGTTTGTACCCCAAGCCATATGCTCCTCAAAATCAAGACTACTGATTATCCATACCAAACAGATACTGGTCTGAACTGTGCCAGGCCCTAGATGAGCAAGGGAAGACAAAATGCTTGGGAGCCTGCTCTGTTTCCTAAACTGTGCTTCCAGCTGCGTCAAGAAGGCTGACCTGGACACCATCCCATATCCCATTTGATTTAGAATGGCATCCTGCAGCTAATCTGGCTCAGGAATCTTTCCAGAATAATTGCAATGTCAGATGAAATTTTTAACCATCCTAAAATTGAACTGCTCTTTATACAAATGTATAGGTATACCGTATATAAACATATATGTAAAATAATATGAATTCCTATGGCCCAAGCCACTTACACCATATCGGTAGCAATACAGATGCTTGCATCTGAACCAGGGAGTGTAGTTTTTCTCTATAGCTCAAATACATGAGAGGATAGTTCATAGAGCTTTCCTCACGCTGACAAACCCTTTCACTGCTAGATTGATCTGACAACATTTTTTTCTTCTTTGTGTGGATTAGTTTGTTAATATTGAAGCAGAATTCAACTTTTTTTTTTTTTTCTTTAATATTCCAGACTGAGATTCAACCCTGAGTCTTTTTCAACATAATTTCTTCTAAATATTTTGAGTTTTTACCCATTTTTGAGTTGATATCCATTTTGCAAGCTGCCTACTTTCTATTTTCTGTCTGATTGAGAAAAACATATATGGCTATCTTGGACACTCAAAAGAGATAATGGCTTTCTATTATCACAACTTCTTCAAAGACGAGGAAGAGCTTATTGAGGGATAAGGAATCGTTTGATGATTCATGTCATTTCCCTTGTGGCATTCCTTGTAGGATTCGGAAATAAGTCAGTCTGACATTCATGAGGTATTTCCTGGCTCTCCTTCTAGGGATTCATCCTTGCAGTCTCTCAGATCTCCCCCATTCCATAAATTTCCTTCCCCCTTCTAGACTCTCTGTCACTCCAGGAAGAGCTAGTCTTCTGTGTGAACAGTCAAGGCCAGGACCTGAGGCTTAGGAAGGCTGGGCTCAGTTTACATAAGATGTAGAGCAATGTGAGTCATGCATATATGGAGGGGACAACGGTATCTGCCTTAGATTCTGCCTGGGGCCTACAGAAATCTAACAGCATGGATCAGTCATTATTTTTACTGCAGTCTGTTGGAGGGTGACTTAAATTTGCCTATCAGCATCTGTGCCAGTAGTTAGTTTCATTGTTCAAACAAAAATAAAATAGCATTATAAAGGTTGGGGAAAAGCCATCAATAAAGCAAATGGCTATTCTGGCAAAAAGCCATTTCCCTTTCTGACATCTCTGATAAATCTGAGCTCCATCCCTGTAAAACAAAAGCAATATCCAAGTATGTGACCAAGTGATCTTTGAAAAGGAGAAAATACACAAGTGAATACAAGACACTCCAGATTTTCATAAATAAAATTCCAGAATAATTAACAGCTCAAAATCAGGGACATGCAGTTTTCTACATTTCCTCGTGGTCACTTAAAGTTTATTTCTTTCATCGCTACTTCATTATTTTATGAATTTGCTGTGTTTACTATGAATGTTTTTTTGATAAGTCTAAGAAGGGAAAAAGAGATCCATCTGCAAACAGTCACAGTCCTGCCAGAAAACCTTTATCTTACCAATAAAGACTGAGATTTAAACTCAGGATAATGTAAGCAGCCAGTCAACAGAAAAGAGCATTAATGTTCATAAAATTCTGCAACAAGTTAATGAATATTGGGTTTCCTCCTCTTCCTTTAGCTTCGTAGACTGTGTCTGTTCCTTTTCCTTAGCCTTGGATTCCTAAACAGAGAATCCCAAACTTCATTTACTTGTCTGCCACATTATAGACTTTACAGACTTGTGCTGCGATGTCTTTGTCTCAGGAAGCCGAGATCATCCTTGGTGGCCTGATTTCATGAGGGCTGCTCCAAAAGTAGCGCCTCCTATTTTATTATGCTGGCCCGCAATGTCTGAGGTGGACATTGGTTATATGGCAGTAGAGGTTGAACCTTCCCACCATCTTCCACTACACTTTGTTGTCTTTCAGCAGATGGTAGCAGCTGTAAAAGAATGAAAAACAAAAACCAACAGATTAGACCCATGAAATGAATAACTAATGAATAACTACTAGGTTAAACTATCCCATGCTACATGTACCCTACGGTTCACAGTAATCAGGATAGACATTTTCAACTGTATATACTACAGTATTAGGAGCAGCCTATGCGGATATGGAGATTATCCCAGAATCTTTGGAGGAGTACTGTAATTTATTTTTAGCTTTGCATTAAAATTGAGTTTTCTATCTGCCAGCGACTACTGTGATGTTCCCATATTAGGTCCTTGCTGAGTTTTCAAAGTAGACCTAGCAGTAGAACTGAGGCTCCATTTGAAAATGAGATCTAAGCAACCAGCCCTGTACTGCCTGTTTATTCCAGCAAACTATTTTCTCTCGCTCTTCTACTTAATTCTTCTGACTATAATCTCACAATTGTTCTTAGATCTAGTCACACTTTGGAACTGGATCAGTGAGATATTCCAGCTAGAGGAAAGAACTGTCACCAGTGCAATGTACAGAAGGAGGATGTGACATACAGACAGCAGCAGCTTACTCTAAAAGGAAGTAGAAAAGCCATGCTCAGTCTCCTCTCAAAACATAACCCCCACACACACCTTGCAATACCCAACTATTCAATAAATAATTTTCTGGAAGAAACATGGCCTGGTAAATAACACATGTGAGCAGTCTTTAATATAGGCTCTGCTTCCAGCTTTTTCTGTGGCTTATAAGACGTCTTTTAGCAATATACTTCACAATCCTGTGCTTCATTTTATCTATAAGAATAACATGACCTGTAAAACATTCTGAGCTCCATAAAATTCAGCAAGCTGCATAAGGTGCAGCTTATGTTACAGTTAGCTATTACAAACTTGCTAACTTAGCTGTTATTAACTAGCAACTGTGAGCCATTAAGTTCACATGCATGTGATGTGAAGTTGATTCAAGCCAACGTTAGCTTAGATTCTATTTCTCTTATTGAAAAGCATTATATTGTACACAGTCATCTATATAGGAGTAATGTTAGTGTTCAACATAGCCTTCATATTCTTTTCTCTAAACTTAGAAATGTACAGACACAGCCAAATTTCCAGCTGAATAGTAGGTACATACATTTGCTTGGATTGTTATTCCATAATTTTATTTCTGAAAAGTTCCACAAACATACAGGCCACTCATTACAACAATCTAACTTATGCATGTAAGTAATAGCTTCATTGCAAGTCAAAAAATAGTATTATTCTAAGATTTTAGATTCCTCATTAAGAAGGTGTCATTAACTGTGTATTTGAGGGTATATAAATTGTCTTAGCTCTTATAAAGAAAAATCTGGTAAGAAAATCACTTACAGAATCATTACCATGAATCCAGAAGACGTTTCCTTATTTTCAGCTTTCCTTTTTTTTTTCTTTAGTTTATGCTATATACTGTATTTAAGAGCTCTGCTAAAGACAAATGAAATCTTGGCTCTATGGAAATCATTGGCAACATTCCCACTGACTTCAGTGGGCCAGTACTGCTGTTAACTCTTCCCTATAGCAAAAATCAAGACTGCCTCTGAAACTGACCTGCCATAATTAAGACTCTGATTCAGACTGCTTACAAGCTGAACAGACCTTGCACAATTACTAAGGCTGTTCTTGAGAATTTGCCAAATCCATAAGACAAAATTAGTGTCATAAATTTTCCCTGGAATTATACCCTGGAGTAAAACATACCTTCTCACTTTATAAGTCTTCAGGAGATATGACTATTTCACTTTATAAGTGAAAGCACCTACATAGTCATATCTCCTGAAGGTTTCAATGACAGTTTTGCTTGTATAGAAATGTAAAAGTAATTCTCATTTACAGAAAACTCATGTTGTTAAGTGTACACTGATGAAAGGTTTTGCCCTCAGGTCTGGCATTTTACCATAAATACACTTACAATACTCAGAATTTGGTGATGCATTACTGTGTTATTTTCATCTCTCCTAAAGCTATCAAAATTAGGGATAATTTAATTGTGTTCACACCAGACTATTCATTACTACACTTGGTATGTTTCAGCTTGTTTATTCTCATCACAATATAAAGATGACTTTGTGATCTGAAGGGAAAAAAACCCCAAACTTCTAAGACATAGCACACAAAGATACGCATATAACACTTCTGCATCATCCACCAAAGACTCAGATCTACTTCAGTAATCTACTGAAGTTTTTACATTCATTTAGTTACTCCTTATAACATGCCTTACTCCTCAGATCTGTTCCACCAAGCAGCAGAAATACCAGAAGTCAATGCTATTGTATTTGTTCCATTCAGTGAAGATAGGGCATTAATATCTATCACATGACCTTTTACTGCATATTATGCTACTGAAATAAACTTTATTTATAATGAATGGTTTGGTGGCATTATGATCCATAATCGAAAGGCATTATGCACAACTCATTTCTGCCCATCCCCTAATTACAACACAAAGACTGAAAACCGGGTACTGAACAATAACCAGACAACAAGAATCTCTGCATTCAGCAGATGAAAGAAAGCATAGCAATATAGTCATACAGCAAAAAAACCTCTAAAAATCCAACCATTAAAATTCTCCAGAATCACAGAATCTTGGAGTGGTTTAGGTTGGAAGAGGCTTGTAAGATCATCTAATTCCAACCCTCTGCTATAGACAGAGACACCTCCCTCTGGACCAGATTGCTCACAGCCCTATCCAGCCTGGCTTTGAATGCTTCCAGAGAGGGGGCATTCACAACCTCACTGGACTACCACCATCACAGTAAAGAATTTCTTTCTAATATCTGGCCTAAATCTACCCACTTCCAGTTTAAAACAATTTCCCCTCATCTTATTGCTACCTGCCTTCATGAAAAGTCCCTTCCCAGCTTTCCTGTAGGCCCCCTTCAGGTACTGGAAGGCCATTATGAGGTCCCCCCAGAGCCTTGTCTTCTCCAGGCTGTATAGCCCCACTCTCTCAGCCTGTCCTAGTAGGAGAGGTGCTTCAGCTCTATGACCATCTGTGTAGCCCTCCTCTGGACCTGCTCCAACAGCTCTATATTGTTCTTGTTTTGGGGGCCCCAGAATGATATACTGAGGACATTTCACATTGAAAAAAATGTCTGTGTTTCTCTGCAGTCTTTGTAGCTGCTTAAACAGATTTTTCTTTTGAACTCTGAAGAATTTTCCAATGAGTGTTAAATGTACTGCTGTTCTCTAAAAATGTTATCTCAAAACAGCAAAGCTAAGAATAGCTTTAAGTTTGCAAATAACCATTGCAGAAATAAACTGTATTGCTACTTGAATACTGTAAGAGATAGTATACAGTCTGATTTTAATATAGCAAAGTGATCCATTGTTAATGATGTTATTAATTTCAGTGAGGTTATTCACACACCTAAAATTACAGCTGTTACATTCTTTACTGACTGGGGTTATACAAAGTGTCCTAATCAGAGAAGCTGTCATGCTTTTCGTTTTGTAATGCTATGTTGGGAACTGCAATCTTTCACTACTATTTCTCAAATGCTACTTAAAAGTTAGCATTAGCCACAATCCATCAAGGGTCAAAAGAACTGTTTTCATGTGCATACTCCTAGTGCCTCCTTCTGGACCTCTTGACAGCTCATGCAGTTTGAAGCCCATTTGTTGTTACAGTGAGCTATTTTCTCCTTTAGAGAAGCCACCCTTACTAGAAATGTCAGCACAAGCTCTCCTGTTTTCCTGTTCATTTACTAGTAACAAATTCCTAATGGAGCTACTAATGATTTTTCACTCAGTTTTGGAGAAGTTATGAATAATAATGTCAGCATTGCCTTTGTGTCTAAAAATGAATTTAGATTTAGAAAAGGTGTTAATTCGATAGTCTCTTTGATATTTAGAATCTAAGGAGATGCACTCACACTCCACCCATAGGAATGAGGGAGAGAACTGGAAACAAAATACAACTCATGAGTTGAGATGAAAGATATTTACGGAGACAGAGAAAGAAAATGGAAACAAAAATGCAAATATAACTATATATGTATATATATATATTTGCAATTCAATTGCAATTCACTCATCTCCCACCAACCGACACCCTGAAACTCTCTGAAAATGTCCTGTTAACTTTAATCTATGCAGTAGAGCTAATTACGAGAGCAAAGACACATAGGTTTCAGGGAGCTATACAGGTTGCTAGTTTTTATTTTAATACCAGGCTGTCACATCATTGGAACTATTGCTCATTGTTAGCTAAATTTCAGGCACATATGTACATAGCACAGTTATTCCCTTACTTGATTACACAGACATCAGCTTTATGCTGCTAGAATATATGGCACTGAGGGATCCCATGTGTGAGACAGACCTCTAGATATTGTCTTGCTATAAATAATAACTAATAATAGTAATAATGTGCTTTAAATAAATAGCAAGTGCAGAAAACTTTGATAACAGCCTAAAGAATTCCTTTCATCTGTCTTTTTTTCTCTCTTGCATGGCTCTTCCTCTTACAATATACGTAATATTTGTCTTAGCTGCCAGTTAAAATGATCAAGCCTTAAGCTCTTGTAGTTGCTGACAGCTTATCATCAGCCTGTGAGCGTTTCAGATGGGAGACTAATGACATAACTGTGTTGTTTGAAAGACATGACAGCTCCTAGAGCACAGCCAGGCTGGACAGGGGACTGAACTGTGACTATACACAAGTGTCACTATTTATGCTAGCAGGTTAGCAAGGCCCAAAAGTATTTATTGGGAAGACTTTAACACCTTTATACTGCTTTCAGCATGTTTTGCTGTTTTGGGCTCTTTTGAGCATATTCTGAGTATTTACAGTATTTTCTAAATGTTTTTCCACGGTCTTCATTCTTGTATGACCTTTAAGTCCAGGCATTTAATGATGGGAGAAAATTAAAGCACTTCTTTCTAGAATTATTATTATTTTAGACTAATGTGGATTTTAGAGGAAGTTTCTCTCATTTTGAGGAACCATCTGTAACAATGATCTACAAATACTGCC